CTCACCCTGATGCCCTGTCGCACCCGCTCTGGCCCTAGTGCGCCCCACGTTGCCGCTCCCTCCTCGCCCTCGTCCATGCTGCTCTCAGGCTCGGCTCGACGCCTTGCGCGGCGGACGCGGCGTGTAGGAGTACTGGCGCGATGGCCCGATGGATGATGGCGGCTCGCCGCCGACGGCTGCGAGGCAGGGCGAGTGGAACTGCGTGGCGCTCGGCGTGAGCATATGCGAGACGCGCGTGCTCTCGACGTCACGCACCAGCTCGCCAGTCGCAGCCTTGTACGAGGTCAGCGAGAGGCAGAGGAGCCAGAGGAGGAGCACTGCAACCGTCTGTGCAGCGAGTCCAGGTCAGCATGCAGCGCATCTCGCGCATTGCAGGAGGCAACGCACTAGTATCGTGGCAAGCTGTACGGCAGGGTGTCAGCTGAGGAGTAGATGGCGTTGCGCAGCACGCACCACTCGCAGCGCTCCAGAATCCAGCTCCGCGCTCAGCTTGTTGGTCGACAGGGCAAAGACACCGAGGGGAAAGACGAGGCCCCACCAGCCTGTGGAGGGGATGCGTTCAGCACATGCTCGGTCATCCCGCTGCGTGTGCTGCTCACCCATATTGAAGGCCAGGCCGCCCTCGATGTATGCCATGTCGCACTGCGGCGTGGTCAGCGCAGGCGATGGTGCTCTCACTCCAGCGACACGCACCACGCTCCCGATTGCCAGCGTGAGCCAGACAAAGCCGAAGCCCCACATGATCAGTGCCAGCACAATCGACTGCGCCAGATGCGTCAGCCACAACACATAGCGGCGCGCCATCGACACCACTCACGCCCGCATACACCGCATCGGCAAACATGAGCTGCTCGCGGGCGTCGTACAGGCTCGCGCCTCCGAGCGCCGCCTCGCCGCGCAGTGCCAGGTGGCGCTGCACGGCGGCGAGGTTCATGATGCTAAAGCCGCCGAGGCCGCACGGCCCGACGGGCAGAAAAGCGCTGACGCTGAGGCTGCCCGGCGGGATCTTGTGGATGGCGAGGCGCGCCCAGAGGATGCCAAAGACGAGCAGCGACGTGGGCACGGCCGTGCCCCAGAGGATGTAGGCGACAATGAGGGTGAAGCGTGCGTGCGCGGGCGGCAGCACCGAGGCGACGACGGAGCCCGACGCGGCGCTCACGACGGGCGCCACGATGGGCAGCAGCCACGTGCCCGCCATCGTCGAGAAGGCGAGCTCGTGGCGCGTGAATTGCAGGAAGGGCAGGCCGATGCATGTCAGCAGCGACACGATCGACTGCACCATCCACAGCGCCCACGCCACGTATGCCCACTGTGCACCCCAGGCGGGCACCAGCGAGAGCACAATCATGCTGGCGAGGCGACGTGAGCTTGCAGGACGCAGCGCAGACCCGGCACGCCACTCACTTGACAATTGTGCCGAGGCCCATGGGGAAGGTGCCGGTGAAGAGCGACTGCGCCGGGTGCAGCAGCATGAGGCGCAGCATGTTGCGGAAGCACAGGTAGCGCGCCAGCGTCGCCAGCAGGAAGAGCACGAAGAGGACGACGTTGAGCGCGAAGATGATGTTGGCAATGATGCCCAGGCCGCGGAACTGGAACGGCAGCTCGTGCAGCAGAATCGAGACGACGCCCGTGCCCATGCTGCGGAGGCGGCGCTCAGCAGTGAGCAGGCGCACGGCAGCGGCAGCGGAGCAAGAGCCTGCGGGTCGCTGCGACCAGCGGCGGAGCCAGCCGTGCCTGCCCACCAGGCAGCAGAGCAGCCCCGAGCCGGCAGCAGAGCGGACCCGAGCCGGCAGTGCCATGGCCGCGTCCAGCCTCCGGCCTCTGTGCCGTGCCACTCACTTGACGCTGAACCAGCTGGGCGTGAAGTTGAGCACGCGCGTGCGCAGCATCTTGCGGGCGCGTGCGCTACGCGAGAGCGGCGCCGCGGGCCGCAGCGGCGAGGCGGCGCCGTGCTCGTCGTCGGAGCGCTCGTGCGACGCCGCCTGGCACGCGACGCAGCACTCGGACGGCGGCGCGTGCGGCGGCGCCGACGACGACGAGGGGCCTGCCCCGCGCGCGCCGCCGTCGTCGTCGTCGTCGTCGGCCCACTCGGGCTCGGCGGTGCGCTGGGACATGGTGCGCGTGGAGGAGGTGGTGGGTGAGGAGAAGCAGCGGCTGCACAGGCCCCGCCGGGCCTTGGCAGGAGCGGCGGTGGCGCATCTCGGGCGCGCATGGCGTGCGGAGCGCGTGGGAACGGCCGCCGCCGCACACGACAGCCGTGCGGCTGGGGGAGGCTACTTCTAGGGGCGCCGCCCGCCTCTGCCCCCTGACCTGGGCACCGCCTCTGGACTCGACATGTGCTGCGACATGCCGCAGCGCGCAGGCGCAAGCAGCCTTCGCTTACTTTGGCTCGGCTCGTGCGCTCTTATTCGCTATTCGATTCATGGCTCGTTCTGGCGCTGCCGTTGCGCGGCTGCAGGCTGCTGCCGCAACTCAGGGGTCGCGGGTGCGCCGCTCTGCTCTACTTCTGGCTGCCCGCAGCTGCCGCATCCCGCAAGAGCGAAGCTGAACATGGGAATGCACTCTGCGATCTGCGACGCATCTGGCAGCTGCGTCCCAGCAAGGGCAGCGGCACATCGCGAGCATGCAACTTGCAACTGGCTGCTGCTTCTTCCGGCCGGCAGCTGCTTGCGGTGTTGACGCAGCCGTCTGGCGTTGCCGGGCGGCTACACAAGGTGCGTCGCACCGCAGGCCGCTCTGCCTTCTCGACTCCCACCTCACGCTCAAGGCTCCCTCTTACACACAAGGCACAAGCATCTCGCCCAAGTCGCCTCTCTAACCCACCGCCTAAGCCCCTCGCCACGCGTCGCCTGCGCCACAGCTCGGCCCTCTCCTCTCTGCGCACGACGCAAGCACGTCGCCGCGGGTCCCTCTTCACTCTACTCCCTCCGGCGAGGGCTGGCGATCGCGCGTGGAGCTCGCCGCCACTCTCCTACGTACAACATCCATCTCCGTCTTTCGTCAGCATGAGCGTCTCGGGGGCGCCGCCCCGCGCGCATCACACGCTCGAGGTCTTTGTCGCTGTAGAAGGCATCTCGAGAGCGTCTGCGGACAAGCGCATCCGCCAGTCCCTGGCTCGATGGCGTTCACCCGGCGAGCCCGCCGCCGATGCCATGTACATGGCCCAGTTCCTCTACGCTGTTGACGGAGAGGCGGAAGAGGCGTGGCGCAGCAGCGGCACGTCTGAAGCATATGCCGGAGCGTCGGGCAGTGCTGCTGCCGCCCAGAGTGACGCTGCCGATCGCCTGCGTGTGGCGTCTCTCGCACAGCTTCACATGCTTCATTATGCCGACAGAGAATGGGCGCACGCCTCCATCGAAAAGCAGGCCAATCTTCACTCCGACGACTTTTTCAACACACTGCTCGCGCCGCCGGCCGCGAGTTGGACCGTCGCCGACTTCGCCCTCACTCCCGTCGCCCTTCTCTTCGGCCTCGAGGTCTATGCGGATGCGGACCGCCTGCAGCCTCGCCTGGGGCCCAACGCACCGCTCGTGGGGCCGCAGCCGCTTCTCTTCGGGGACGGGCAGCGCCGCGGCCTGCTTGACGCTGGCCGCGTGCGCCTGCGCCTGGGCCAGCAGCCAGAGGTCAAGGTCGACAGCTCGAACGCGCACCTGGTCCTCTCCTCGCTCTCAGCAATTGCACGCCTCTCGGGCCCGTCCGTCATCCCCGGCCGTAATGAGTCGGCGTGGACGCTCAGCATCACCGAGGACGAACTCATCGCTTTCGAGGAGGCGATGCAGAGCGTTGCTGCTCGCCTCGACAGGGCTGCCCAAGTCGGCGACGCTGACTTCGGAGCGATCCTGACGACGGCGGCCGACAATTTTCTGCACTTCACTGGCGCGAAGACTGCGAAAGGCGACTTGCGCCAGGCCTTGAGCGATGAGAGCGAGAGGCGTGGCCGCGGGCGCAGCCCCCACGGCTCTTGGCAGGTCCGCGCGGGCGCACTCGGCGCCGAGCATCTCATAGAGTGCGACGCAGCGCATCTCATCCCGGCGTTCATCGGAGGCGCGCTCTTCGAAGACGCCCAAGCCGCGCTTGCCGCGCGCTCACAGCGCTTCGGTAAAGAGGAGCTCCCCGGCGATGGCCGCGCACCTCGTCTCGGCTTCCTCGACCCGCGAGTCGGCAGTCTGTGCCGCACATCGGACGCCGGCATCAATGCCGCACACAACGGCCTCTTCCTGAGCAGGTGCCAGCACGCGCTCTTCGACATGCACGTCTTCTTCGTCACGCCGTCGAGAAATGTCGTGCACAGTGAGTAGCCCCGTCCTTGCCGCTCTCTCAGCTGACACAAAAGCGTAGTCACGCGGCCCTCTCTCGGCAGAGCCAACCCGGCTTCTCCTCAAGCGCACGACTGCATGCCGAGGCCGGGCTGGGAAGTTCCACTGCATGCGTCTGCGTCCGCGTCAGACAAGACGCCTAGCATCCATCTGGCGGCGCTTGGCACGCTGCTTGCGCTGTATGCCGCGCCTGATCTGCGGAGGATGCTCCTCAAAGTGGCAGCAAGCGAGTCCTTGTCCCTCAAGCGCAAAAGGACGGGCAGTGAAGCTTCGGGCTCACGTGGCGCGCCGCAGCCCGAGCCTGTCCGAGAGGAGCAGCACGCCGCTGGCGAGCCCCTCATCCGTCAAGCGCGCCTTGAGGATGAAGACAGCGACACGACGACGTCCGACAGCGAGGATGCGCCGCCGATGAGCTTGGCGGCAATGCGGCGTTGGAGGAAGGAAGCTGATCGCGCGAGCGAGAAGCGCGTGCGTGAGAGCAAGGAGATCGAGCGGGTCGCGATTGCGCTCTTTGTCGCGCACACGGAGCGCCGTGTGGGAGCAGCTGGCGTCTGATGGAGCAATCATGATTGTGACACCTCCTCAAGCTGCGTGAAAAGTGCGGCATGCAGCTGCTGCGCGTACTGTGTGCCAAGCTGCGGAGGCCAAGATCAGCCTGACGCATGCAACACGGCAGCTGGCCGACTCACCCTGATGCCCTGTCGCACCCGCTCTGGCCCTAGTGCGCCCCACGTTGCCGCTCCCTCCTCGCCCTCGTCCATGCTGCTCTCAGGCTCGGCAAGCAGGCGAGCTCCCCGAATGCGCCCAGTCGACGAGGCAAGCACGAGCACGCGCACGTGCGGCGGCAGCGCCGCCTCTTCCAGCGGCGACGGATCGAGCAGATGTGTGCCGTTCGGCAGCTAGAAGCGCAGCGTCAGACTTGACGAGGGGGCAGATGCCGCGCGGCAGCACTCACCAGCGCAACTGTCACTGCCGCCGGCCACTCTTCCCGGCCCTTGAGCGGCACGCTGCCTTCGGCCAGCTCGAAGCCCACCAGGCCCTGCTCCAGGCCCATCTTGTCGCCCGTTGCGCCCGAGCCGGCAGCCGCAGGCGCCGTGGCAGCGCTCGTGCCGACTGGCCGCGTGGCCGGCAGCTCGGCCGACGCCACGGCGCCGAACGCCGCCGCCAGCAGCGCGTCGGCCGCGTTGCCGCCCTGCACGCTGCGCAGCGAGACATCGAGCGAGAGCGTCCAGGAGAGAGCACGCCGTGTCTTGCTGGCAGGCTGTAGTGGCGCGGGCGGCGCGGGCAGGACAGGGAGCAGCATGCTGCGCACGAGGTGCGCGAGCGACTGGTTCTCGAGATGTGCAGGCCTGAGGTGGAGGTGCTCAGCGGGTGGTCGACGAGGAGCCGCAATTGGGCGATGCGAGAAGAGTACTGCCGCCGAAGCCACAAGTGCCCAGGAGGGCTCCGTCTGCACCGCACATTCGCGCATTCTCCTCATTGCGGGCACTCACACATCGACGGCCACATTCCACGCCGGCTCGCCCTCGGTCACCTCGGCGCTGACCACCGCTCGCGCCACGGTGCCGGCGCGCTCCGCTTCGCACGAGCCTGCAGCGGCAGCGACGATGCGCGAGGCAAGCCGCAGCGGCCGTACGCTCTGCAGCGAGCGGCCGTCGGGCCGCAGTGCCGGCGTCTGCTGCAGCGCGGCGAGCACGAGGGAGAGCTCGGCAGCGGACATGGCGCAAAGAGAAGGCGGGTGTGAGGCTTGAGCGACAGGAAGGGCAAGCGAGCGCAGAAGGTGGGAGTCGGGCCTTGCGAATGTGAGTTTCGGCAATGCGGTGGCCGCGAGCAAGCGAGTAGTGTGAGGTGGGATGTGGAGCAGACGCAGGAGCAGGAAGTGGAAGCTGGAGGCGCGAGGCCTGGAAGATGTCGTCTGCTGACTAAGCACAGCGGCGTGCGCGCCGGCCGACGTCCGTGCGCCGCGCCGGGTCCTTCCAGCTGCTGCTCCCTCTCACCCCTCACTGCTTCTCACACCAACACCGCCCCTCGTGCCGCCGAACTCGCCATGCGCCTCCTCGCGCCGGCACTCCTCTCGCTCCTCTGCGCCGCGCGTGCTGCGCTGGGCAGCAGTGCCGAGCCGCTGGAGGAGCACGTGGCGCACATCGGCGTGCCGCTCGTCGACTCGGCGGCGCACGCGGCGCAGTGGCGCACGCCGCGCTTCCACCGCATCCAGCCCGCCGTCGCGCCCGCGCCCGGCACCAAGAGCAAGACGGCCGTCTATGTCGCCACGCAGCAGGGCGCCGTCGGCGCGCTCAACCCGCGCAACGGCGAGATCGTCTGGCGCCGCGTGCTCAACCACACCGACGAGGTGCAGGGCTTCTGGACGGGCATGGACGGTGAGTCGTCGTCGGCGCGGGCCGCAAGGCACGCTCTCAGCTGCGGCTGTGGCATCTGCGCAAGCCAGAGATGGCACCTAAGCGCTCGCCCCCCTGTAGCTCACACCGCCTCTGCGCAGTCGCTCTCTACCTGACCGGGCCGGGCGCGACGCGCGCCTCGCTCCACCACGCCCTCACCGGCGACGTGCTGTGGTCTGCGCCGCTCTCCTTCCCCGCCTCGCTGGCCGACGCCGTCGTGCCCGAGTTTGCGCACCCCGGCTGCGACGCAGCCTTCGTGCAGGACCGCGTGCTGCTGCTCGACGGCGCTCGCCGCGTGCGCCGTGTGGCCGGGTACAAGGGCGTCGAGGAGTGGCGCTGGGACGTGCGCGAGTCGTGAGTGCCGCGCTGCGCTCGCACTGTCTGTCATGCTCACCGAGATTACCGCAGTGCTCCTCACGCCTCGCTCGTCCGTCTGGCACCGTCGCCCGCGCATGATGCACTGTGGGCTCTCTCGCTGACGCCGCATACGTCGCTGCTCTCGTCGAGCCCCTCGTCCTACACGCTCTCCTCTCACACGCTCAACCCGCAAACGGGCGAGCTGATTGGCACCAAGGAGCTCGGGCACGTCTCGCCGCCGCGCGAGCTCGAGGGATGGCGCGGCGAGGGCAAGGCGGGCGGCGCAAAGGACGTCGTCGTCCTGCCGCTCGGGCCCACTTCGCCCGCCAGCCCTGCCAAGCCGACTGGCCTCGAGCCGCATGCGCTGCACATCGCGACCGACGGCACGCTGCATGCCTCCTCGCTCGTCTCTGCCTCGACGCACACGCTCAAGGCGCGCGTGGGCAAGTTTGTCGCGCTCAGGGAGGTCGGCATGGGCGAGAAGGGCATCGCCGTGGCACTGCGCGACGACGGACACGCCGATGTGGTGCGCGTGGTGCGCAGCGCCAAGGGCGACGTGCAGCTCAAGGCCGTCTGGGAGTTCGAGGAGGACGCCAAGGACGCCGTATACAGCGGCGCGTACGACAAGCAGGGCAACGCCTACATCAATCGCGTCTTCTTCTCGCCCAACCAGCACCTGCTCAACTTCCACGTCTACTGGGTCGACGCCAACGACGGCGAGGGCCAGGTGACGGGCTACAGCTTCCAGTGGGACCACGACCTGCACGGCGACGTGCTCGCTGCGCCCTTTGAGGTCTCGCCCGTCTCGCCCTTCCAGCTCGTGACGCGCGCCGTGCTGGCCACGTCGTCTGGCTCGCTGCGCATGATCCAGGAGGACCGGCACCAGTGGATCCTCGAGGAAGGCACGACTGTTCCCGTTGCTGCCGTGCTCGTCGACTTGCCTGAGCGCCAGCTCTCGCGCAACGTTACCACGGTCGAGGAGAGGCGCGCCGCCGCCGCCGTGCGCGCTGTGCTCGAGGGCGAACGCTTCCCGGACCGTCTGGGGCGCCACCTTGTGGCACTGCGACGTGCGCCCGCCTGGTCTGTCCAGCTAGCAAAGGGAATGGTCTCGAGCGTGCTGGAGTTCAGCTTCGACCCGCGCATCATTGTGCCCAAGGCGCCGCAGGTCAAGTCGAAGGCTTCGGGCGTCGCGCCGCGTGCCACGCCCGTGGCCACGGTGCCGAAGAGCAAGGCGCCGGCCGGCGGCGTGCAGGCCGCAGAGATTCCTGCGCAGCCCAAGGTCGTGCCTCAGGTGGGCAACCGCCGCCAGCAGACGCGCACGACTGCCGTGCCGGAGGGACCACTCCCGCCGTCGTCGCTGGCGCCGCGCTATGCCAACGCAAGCGATGTGGCGCAGCTGCATCGCGACAAGATGGGCTTCCGCAAGGTGCTCGTCTCCGTCTCGAAGTTCGGCAAGGTGTACGCCAAGGACACGCAGACGGGCCACTATCTGTGGGAGAAGAGCCTGGTCGGCTTTGGCACGGGCGAGGGCAAGGCCCCGCCAGAGATCAAAGTGCGCCTTCTCAGCGTCACGCGTCCCGTCGGCGCGGCGGTCACGGCCTCTGGCACTGCTGCCGGCGACAGCGAGGCAGCAGCGGCGGCGGCGCTCGGCCCGCTCGTCACCATCGCGGCCGAGGTGCTCGAGAAGGGCCACTGGGTGCTGCGCATCTGGGAGATTAACCCATTGACCGGACACTTCCTGTACGGCGAAGAGACGCAGACGGGCGCACCGCTGCTGCTCGGCACGGCCAAGGACGTCTTTGTGCTGCCCGTCGAGGGCGCCGAGACGGGCCAGAAGGCGCTCGGCGCCGTTGACGCGGAGGGAGCTGTGAGTCCTGCGGCCTTTGCTGCCGCCGCGTCGATGGCTGACAGCAACTATCGCAGCTGCGCATCTGGCCCGAGTCGCCGTCCGTCCTGCGCGCCTTTGCGCAGATCGCTCCGTCCTTCTTCTTCAGCAGCGTCTCGGACGAGGGCAAGCGGCTGACTGGCTACGCCGTGCTTTCCGGCTCCTCGGCACAGACGGTACCTGTCTGGCAGCTGCCCTTGGCCGACGGCGAAGTGGTAGAGAGCGTGTCGCGCGCCACGAGCGACGTCGTCGCCAGCCAGGGCAAGGTGCTCGGCACGCGCGAGACGATGTACAAGTACCTCTCGCCGCATGCCCTGCTCGTTGTCACGCGCGAGGCTGCGGCACGCTCGGCCACGGTCTACGTCGTCGACGGCGTCGCCGGCAACGTGCTCTACTCGTCGCGCATCGCCGACGGCAACCTCACGCCCGACAGCGAGCTGCTTGCCACGTTCACCGAGAACTGGGTCGCAGTGACGTACACGGTCGCCGCGGAGGCGAGCAGCGACGCCGCCGCGTCGGAGCTCGATGCACCGTCGCCGAAGAGCAGCAAGCCCGAGACGCGCCTGCTGTCGCTCGAGCTGTACGAGGAGGAGAGCCGCTCGCTGCAGACGTGGAAGTGGAGCGGGCAGCGCTCGAGCTTTGCGCACGACGGACACGCCGCATCGCCTGCTGCAGTGCGAGCCTTTGCGCAGACGTACGTCGTGCCCTTTGCCGTCCGCGCACTGGGCCACACGCGCACGCGCTACGGCGTCACCGTCAAGGCGCTGCTGCTCGCCACGTCGAACGGCTCGCTCTTTGCGCTGCCGCGGCGCATGCTCGACCCGCGCCGGCCCGTCGGGCGCAAGGCGACGACGACGGAGCTCGAGGAGGGCCTCGCCACCTTTGACGCATACATCCCCAACGACCCGCGCCTGGACGTGGGCGGCGAGTACCGCATCGAGGGCGCCAAGCTCATCGTCACGGCCTCGGCGATGCTGGAGAGCTCGAGCGTGGTGTACGTCGCCGGCCTCGACGAGCTGCTGACGCGCGTGGCGCCCAGCGGCACGTTTGACATGCTGTCGCGTGAGTCGCACGTCGCACAGACACGGTCGAGACCAGAGCTGACGCTAATCCTCGACAGCGACATTCAACAAGGCGCAGCTCTTGCTCACCATTGCGGCGCTCAGCGGCGGCCTCATCATCGTGCGGCCCATGGTCAAGGCAAAGGTGCTTAAGGCACGCTGGTGAGCGTCGCGCTGTGCGCAGGAAGAGGATGGTCAGCCGCGGCGGGCGCTGCACAAATGACATATAGAAGCTTCGCTGCCCGTCTGAGGCGAGAGGGAGGCTTGCTGCGACAAGGTGGAGCAGACGAGCAGGCAGACGGCAGCCGAGCCTGTTCGAGGTGATCGGGGCACGTTCAAGCACTCGCCGCCTCACCCGCACGCAACGGTCAGCCTCTCGGGCCGAGCGTGCAGGCCGATGTCGATCCTCCAACAGGGGGGTGCAGCTGAGTCGCAGAGGCAGTTTGAGTCAGCCCCCGCAGCAGATTGCAGCTGCGTGCAGATGAGGGTTGAGTAAGAGTGGGCGCAGCAGGAAGAGGGAGCAGCTCCGCTGCCCTGCCGCATCTGGAAGTGGCAGCGGCGGGCGGCGGCGGTGCATCGGGCAGGCCGGCCTCGGAGCAACACCGCGCAGCCGAGTGCCGGCCGTGCGCGGTGCGGCGGACGCGAGGACGTCTGCGCGAAGTCGCTCGGAAGTCAGTCGCAGAGCTGAGAGGCATATCTCAGCATGGGAATATATTTCGAATGATGCTTCAAAAAGCAGCAACAAATAAGAGGTGTTGAGACCGTGGAAAGAACACATGCAAAGCTGCTTCACTCGCTTCACGAGAGCTGCGGCGGCTGTGCGCGTCGCGTCGAGCGGTCGGCAGGCATCCGCCGCGGCCGCAGCACAACGCAAGCCCGCTGCCATCACTTCGGCTATATCGCAGACGTTTGATCGCAAAATTCAGATGCGGCACTTTAGCATCAGACCCAGTTGCCAGAGCTGTCGCTCAGACCTTTGTTTTATTTCCCTGAGCTGCTCGGGACGCGTGGGGGCGGCCGTCGCTCACGGCTCAGCTGGCGCCGGGGTGCATGATTAGCGTAGCTCAGCGGGAGCCGCAGCAATGACAGAAGTCCACGAGTGTTGGCTATTCTTGCTTGTTCGCTGCTTGTCGAGACGGCATGCAGGAATACCTGATGTTGTAGACGCAGCCAGCAGTCGGGTCAGGGGCTGGGGCGGCGCGGCGCCGTCACTGAGATTTGACGAGTGCTGTGGCGTGGGAGCACTTTGCCGTGCGATGCTCTTGCGCCGCTTGCTGCTGCAGGGTGTCGGCCAGGCTGGCGTCATGCAGCGGCAAGCGCACTGCAGCTTTCGGTCCCGTTGCTCGAGGCGCAGCGAGCGCAAAATGCAGGCGGCGCGGCGTGGACGCCGAGGCGCAGCACGGGCGTTCGCGGCGAAGGCAGCGAGGGCGGAACGCGGAAGCCCCTGACGTCACCTCGTGCAGCGCACGCGACGCGACGCGGGCTGCCTGCAGCCTCAGGTGCTTCGATGCCTCCGGCCGGGCCTGACAGAAGCGCTCCAGGTGCCGACGGCCGTTCGTCTGCGATGCTGAGCCCTGCATGGAGGATGCTGAGCGCTGCCTTGACGGCAGCGCTGGCAGGCTAAGCGCCGCGACAAGCGTGCCGCGCCGTCTGAGTCAGGGCCGGCGAACTGGGCCCGCCAGACTCCGCAGAAATAGAAGCAGCACCGCCGAGGGTTCGCAGCAAGTACGGTCACAGAGGCGAGGAAAGTGCAGGCGGATGCGCTGGTGGATGTTGAGCGCAGCTGCTGGTCAGGGGCAAGCATCCGCTCGGAGAAGATGCAGCTGCTTGCTGTCGGCTGTCGGCTAGCTGCGAGAGGCACCTGCGATCTTTTGCCATGGTGGCCCAAGCAAGCGTCAGGCAGAGAGATCTGACTTGGTCCGACGTGGATGCCAGTGCCAAACCATGGCGGGGAAGGCGAATGGAAGTGGTGGCCTGCTGCCCGCTCAGGGACGCATCTGCATCTGATGCTGCTGCTGCGCTGCAGCGTGCCGCGCGATCTCAGGCGCGCCGAGCATGCATCGCAGCGCGCCGAGCGGGCCCCCATGAGGGCGCATGACGCTTCCTCTGCGTCGGTATTCTGCGCCAGCCAGGCCCTTGGCCGCTCCCGCTCCCGCCCAAGTACGGCGACACGGGCCTCGCCGCAGATGCCGGCCGTGGGACGCCCGCGGAGGAGTCTGAATCATTTCGCCGCTGCGGTCTGCTGCTGCAGCCACACCCAGCCGGCGCGGACGCCCGATGTGCAGCGCTGCTGCCACGCGGCCGTGACGCAGCACCAGCGCAGCTTGAACTGTTTTGGAGCTCCCAAGGCGGATGACGCGCAGACGTCGGAGGGTGCCAAGGGCCTGGTGCCGCATGGCCTGAGCTTCGGGCCCGGCCACGAGCATGATGCTCGAGCAGCAGCAGCTTCTTGCTGGCGGCACGCTCGCAGGCGCTGGCCAATACTTAAAGCTTGCACGCTCGGTCAGCAGACGAATCCATCCGCCCTCTACCACCTCCATCTCGCCCGCATCCGCGCAGCCTCTGCCAGCATGCATCTCAAGCAGGACTTCATCGCCGCTGTGCGTTGCGCTTCGAGCCTGCCACTGCTCTCTTGCTCATCGCATTACTTCTCCAGGCCGGCGAGTTCGTCGGCACGACGCTCTTCCTCTTCCTCGGTGAGACGCGCGATCACGTCGCGTCGGCGCCCCAGCCGCTGACCCCCACCCATGCAGCCCTCGGAGGCGCAAAGACTGCAAACTTCAGTGCCAGTGCCGCTCAGACGGACGGCCTGACGGTCACCATCAACAGCCAGACCATCATCTTCATCGCGACGTCCTTCGGCCTGTCTCTCCTCGTCACGGCGTGGATGTTCTACCGAATCACGGGCGGTGCGTCTTTCCCTGGCCTGCATGCCCCAATTTAGCTAACCCTATTACTCTAGGCTTGTTCAACCCAGCAATTACTCTGGCTGTACGTGCCTTTTGGACCAGTTGAGATGCGCAGAGGCGGGCGCGGCGTTCTGGGGGGGGGAGGGGGGCGTTTGAGACCACCTAGGACGCGTCGCGCCCGGCCGCGCGGTGTCCTCGCCCGGCTGACACGACCATCTCGCGCAGCTTTGGATTGTCGGCGCATGCGGATGGCTCCGCGCTATCATGCTTGTGATTGCCCAGCTCCTCGGAGGCATGGCCGGCGCCGGCCTGGTGCAGGCGCTCACGCCGCGAGGCGGCGTCGCCGACACGGCCACGACGCTGCAGCCGGGCGTCTCTATTGTGCAAGGCCTGTTCATTGAGGCTATCCTCACAGGCATCCTGAGTGAGTGCTGCGCAAGAAATCTAGCGCTTAGCTTCATTGCTGACGCCGGACGCGTCAAGTCTTCTGCGTGCTCATGCTGGCGGCCGAGAAGCATGCTGCGACCTTCATGGCACCTCTCGTGATCGGCCTGACGCTCTTTGCTTGCCATCTGCTTGGAATTCTGTTCGTGGCCCGGTCCTTGAGCCTTGTCCGATCGATGCTGACACTCCGGGCCCTCCTATCAGGTGGACTGGCTGCGGCATCAACCCGGCGCGATCGCTCGGCCCTGCCGTTGTTGCAGCTCAGTTCCCTTCTTACTTCTGGATATACTGGTGAGTGCAATCGTTCCATCTACGTTGTGCTCTGGCTCACTCGAGATCGTGCAGGATCGGCCCTTTGATCGGCTCGCTCGGCGCAACTTTTTTGTACGGGGTGCTCAAGGGTCTCGACTACACCACTATGTGAGCGCGCGCTGAGCCATCTCGTACCCGCCTCCGTGTGCTCATCCTCCTCTTAGTGTTATGGGGCAGGACGCAAATACCGCTGATACCAGCGCAAAGGACCCGAACCGCACGCGCGAGAAGGTCAAGGCCAAGGCGCGCAAGTACATGGTGATCCACAAGCACAAGCACGACGGCACCGGCGAGCCGAAGGGCCTCGACGGCATGACGGCGCACGAGCTGGAGCCGACGAACGAGCTGCAGCGCGAGGCGATCCGCATGGGCGACGCCGTCATCATCGAGATGGAGCCGCCGGCGCCGGGCCTCGAGCGCGCCGACTCGGCTGGCACGCTGCTCAGCGCCGACGGCGCCGCAGCGCCGGCGCCTGCTCCCACGCGTATCGCCGTGCGCCCCATGCCCGTCTCGCGCTTCTCGATGAACCCGAATGCGCAGGAGCACGGCGCCATCGGTGCTCCCGGCTCCGTGTCTATCGGGTGAGTTGCTCCGCCTGTGATCTACGTCGGAGACCTCACGCTGATCCCACGCTTGCCCTCCAGTGTCCAGCTCATCGACAACGCTCGTTCAGCGCTCGGCCGCTAAGCGTCCGTCTGCCGAGCCGAAAGCCCTCTATCGGGCCTCGCATACCACTTCTCTTCATCCAAGCGACTCCGTGCTTGCCCTCTTGCATCTCCTGCCCCATCTTGGCTCCCATCTCCTGCTCCTCTAACGACTCTGCTGCTAATGACCTGATGCATGGATTTGCAATGCTCAACGCTTTCCCAGCTGCCGTCTCTGCATGCTTGCTCCGCCGTTGCCGTCTCTCGCGTCCGCATCTCATGTAATTGCGCCCGGTCAGATCTGGGACATGGTATCTAGCGCCGCAGCGAGTTCATCTGCAGCACGTCTGGGGAAGGCACGTCAGAGGCACCGCAGCAAGTGTCGCTGTATGTGCTCACCTCGTCGCGGCCAGGTGCGCCGCCTCGCGCTTGGCGTGTGCGCGCCACTCGCCCTCGACAAGGCGGCTCTGCCAGTGCAGACGCTGCAGCTCTTCCCAGAGGGCCATGCGCGTGTGTTCCTGCCGCACGTCAGCTTAAGCGCTCAGCACCACTCGGCTCATGCCTCACCCGTCGTCGCAGCGCACGCTCCACCAGCGCGTTGTCATCCTCGAGCGCGACACGCAGGCGCTTCGCCTCCTCCTCCCAGCCCGGCGCACGCTCCTGCCGCAGCACGACGAGGCGCTTGGCGTTGGCCTCGAGCTTCTTGCGCGTCGCCTCGACGGCGTCGGGCGAGAGCCGCTCGTGCCGCGCCCACAGGTCGCGCGCGGCGAACCACAGGTCGCGCTGGTACTGCGTGGTCGACGTCAGCCGTGTATGATGTCACGCGAGGCAGCTTCACGCACTCTGAGAGCCTCGAGCATGTCGGTCGCCATGGCCTGAGCCTGCCATGCATCGTCAGCCCCGCTGAGCAGAGGCTCGCCGTCTCGACTCACACGTGCGCCGGCCAGGTCCGCAAAGTCCTTCTCCGCCTGTGCCAGTCTTCCCTCCGTCTCGTCGTCACGCTCGCTCTCCGGCTTCCACACGCCCTTGCGGCACGCCTGCAAGCTCTCAAGCATCTCGGCCATGCGCGCGTGCTCCGCGCCCTCGGCCTCGCGGCGGCGCAGGGCGCGCTCAAACGAGTGCACGAGCGAGACTTGCCGCTCCACCATGCCGGGTGTCGCGGCGCGAGAGGCTTGCATCTTGGACTCGAGGTCCGAGGGCACGGACTGCAGCTCCTCGGGAGTGAGGATGCGCGAGTTGCCCTCTTCCTCCAGCTCGGGCGTCGGCGCAGAGACGCGCCACTCGGCCAGCGGCTGCAGCAGAGGGGTGAGATCGGGCGCAATCCCTATGCTGCGCATGGCACTCACCTGCGTCTCGGTCAGAAAGACAAGCACGAGCGAGTCGCTGCGCAGCACAGGATGCGAGCTGCCTCGAGGCGTCAGTGCAGCCGCAGCACATGGCCTTCGGACAGACTTACACGATGGAGCGGAGGTAGCGCTGCAGGCCGCGGCGGCGCTGCTCCACGAAGCCCTCATCGGTCGAGAAATTGAGCGCAGGCAGCGGCACTGAGGCGTTCGGTCAGCATCTGAGTACGCTGGCGCATCGCTGGAACTCACGGCCCATGCGCTTCGGCGGCAGCCCCGGCAGCAGCCGGAATGGGTAGCGCTTGACGAGCGCCTCAGCCAGCCAAGTAAAGTCCGAGTAGCGGCGCTGCACGGTGTGCGCCACGCCTCGGCCGCCGTACGACGCGGGATTGAGCAGTGGTGCGCCAGGCAGGAAAGACGCGATGGTGTAGAGCGTGTGCCGAAAGTACGTGCCGCCCTGGGCGCGCGAGAGACGCACTTGCACGCTGGGCTCGGGCCCTGTGGGCCGACTGCGCGGCGCCGCAGCGCTCGAGGGCAGCGAGTTGCGGCGTGCGGGCCGAGAGGAGGCATCGCGAGCGACAGCAGCTGCCGAAGCACCCCAGCCTGAGCCGGCACGCAGCGAGGCAAAGCCAGAGACGGAAGGCGGCAGCGGCTCGGGCGACGCGGCGCTGCGTTCCGCCGGCGCATCCCAGCTGCTGCTTCCGGCCTGCGCACGGAAGCGCGAGTTGGCGGGCGGCAGGTGCGCCAGATCGAGCGTAGGCAGCGGTGGATCGCCACTGCGCAGCTGCTGTCGCGCCAGTGACACATTTGGCGCAGAGCCGTCCTGCATGTGTGCGAGCAGCACGAGGGCGAGGCAGAAGACGGGCAGCGAGAGCGGGCCGGCGGGCAGCAGCGCGAGGATCTGTGCAGGCGTGTCAGACGCAGAGCAGCGCCAGCGGTGCGCTTCGTCGACGCACCTGCTGCACGCGCGCGGTGTCGATGCCCGACGAGGCCAGCACGCGCGCGGCCTGCTCGGGCGCCACGCTGGGCGAGCGTGCGCCGCCCGGCGCCACGGTGTGCCAGGCGTCGAGCAGGGGCGCCGGCACCTCGACGGTCGCGGCGTCGTCGGCGCCGGCACTGGCGCAGCTGTGCGGGCGACGCTGCGGCGAGCTGGCGCGCGACGAGGAGCCCGAGGCGGAGGCCGAGGCGGCACTGCTGCCGGCGTGGGCGCGGCTGTGCGCGGCGTGCTGCTGCGGCTGCGCACCACCGGCGCCCCAGGGGTCGGCGCTGGCGGAGTGCGTGGAGAAGCCGTCGATGGAGGCGGCGTCCCAGCGCGGCAGGGCCGAGCGCGGCGCGTCGAAGAGCGACATGCCGGCCGGGCGCAGGTGAGGGAGGGCGAGGTGCGGGGGGCAGGAGAGGGAGAGAGAGAGGGAGAGGATAGGGCCGCGCGCCGGCGTCCGTGCGGCTGCGGGCTGATTGCGCCAATGTGGAGTCCGCACGTGACGCGCGCGCCCCTGAGTGTTTGGTGCGCGTCGGAGGCTGATTGATGCTTTAGGCAGGCGCGCTGAGGCGGTGCAGGGTGCCTGCCGTCCCTTGCGCTGCCGGTGCCGGCCTGCCGCCGCCGATCCTTGAAGTCGCCTCGAGGGGCGCAAGCGAGGCCCGAGTGCCTGATGAATGCGCATCACAGGCACAGGGGTCTCCTTCCTACCCTCACACCCGCCTCCGCCATCCCGGACCTGTGCCTGTGCTCCCACACTCTCTCGGCGCCGCACACCCCTGCTCCACCTCCGCTCTCACGCCCCCTGACTGCCGCCGCACAGCATGGCCGATGCGCTCGCCGCGCAGATGGCCGCCCTCGACGCCGAGCTCGCGGCGCTCGGCGACGGCGCCGCCGCCTACCACGGCCACTCCAGCGCCGACCTCGCCGCTGCGTTCGCCGAGTACGCGCGCCTGCACCCCGACGGCGCCATGCCCGCGGTGCACTCGGCGCCGGCCGTGATGGCGGCAGAGGGCGCCGTGGAGTACATCACCGAGTCGACGGCCTTTGACTGTGAGTCGCAGCGCCTGGCGCCGCACTGCCGCGCCGCAGCGCTCATCCCACTGCGCAGGGGCCGCGCAGCTGGCGGCACTCCGCTGGGCCACCGTCATCTACGGCATCGTGTGGATGGTGCTGGGCCTGCTGCTGCTCTTCGCTGGCTACGCCTCGCTCTTCTGGCTCTCGCGCCGCGGCGCACGCAAGGCGACGATGGCGCCCGCAGCCTCGTCGCTGCCCGGCATCCGTGCCAAGGGCAAGCGCCGGGCGCTGCTCGGCGGCGGCATCGGCGGCGTAGCGGTCGGGTTCCTGGCCTTCTCCACGCTCGCGGCCATCATCAACGCGGCCGTGTGCGTGCCGCAGCCGGAGCGTGCCATGTCGCCGGGCGCCTTCTTCGCCGTCTGGCTCATCTCCGGCCTCGTCGGCCTCGCCCTCTGCGGCCACTTTGCCTCGCTGGCACGCATCTTCTCCGGCCTGCTGGCCGCCACGTGTCTCACCATCATCCTCACGGCCACCTTTGGCATCCACACGCTGCTCATCCGCAGCGTGCTCATTGCCGTCTCGGCCGCACTGCTCACGGCGCCGCTGCTGCTGCAGCGCAACAAGATGCTGGTGCGCATCATGCTCAACGGCACGACGGCCCTCATCGGCATCGTGACGTTCCTCAACGGCGTGGCCCTCTTTGCGCCGCCCGAGGCCGCCTCGCACGCCTGGCTCAACCTGCTGCCGCTCCTCTTTGCGCCCGACAGCGAGCGCGCCTTTCCCTCGTGGGGCGCGCCGGCGTTCAAGGGCCTCATCGCTGGCGCCATTCTCGGCGTGGTGCTGGGCTTTGCCGTGCAGCTGCTGCTCTCGCGCCACGCCGGCGAGGATGCCGAGGCGAGCTGGAACGAGTACCTCGGCGCGTACACGGAGCGCTACGAGAAGTCGGGCATGCTGCCGGGCCAGTACGAGGGCTCGCTGGCGCGTGCGGGCCTCTTCGAGCCCCAACCCAGCATGTGGCAACGCATCGGCTCCTTCTTCGAGCAGGGCAGCGGCCCGGCAAGCTACGGCCACGTCGCAGGCGGCCAGTCGGCTGCGCTCACGGCGCTGCCGGCAAAGAGCAAGCGCTCTGGCTCATCGCGCTCGCGCGGCCCGGCCAAGTTCTCGGCGCTGGGCCGCGATGGCGCACTGGCGACGACGCACGAGGAAGACGACGACACCGACGTAGACAGCGACGCAGAGGACGACAAGAAGGCACTCTTTGCGCATCCCAGCAAGGCGGGTCTCTCGGAGCTGGCAAAGAGCACCTACGCGCTGCCGTCGCCGCCGCCGTTTGAGGAGTCGACGCCGAGCTACCACAGCACCGGCTCGGGCCTCTCGGGCACAACCAAGGCGAGCGGCAGCAATGTCAGCGTCGGTCACGACGGCGCGCCGCACAAGGCCTTTGACTCGTACACCGACGGCGCTGCCGTGCCGCGCTCGACGGCCAGCCCGCCGCCGGCGGCAGCGGGCAACCCGGCAGCCGTGCCCGCCACGCCCAGCCTCATCAACGCCATCAGCCGTATCCAGGCGTGAGTGTCGCCTCGCCAGCTTTAGCCTGCTGATTGCTCAAACTCCCACCCATCGCAGCGCACAAGCACAGGCGCGCGCATGGCACGCCGCACAGCAGGCGCAGGGTGCAGACGCTGCGCCCTACGGCGTCACGCCCGCCTCGCCGCCGCCGACTGGCAGCGCTGCCGCGAGTGCGCCCGGCAGTCCGGCGTTCCAGGAGTGGTGGAGCAAAGAGGTCAAGGGCCGGCGATGAGCCTCGAGCCCCTGCCTAGCTTCCCTGCTCGCACGTCCGAGCGCGCCCGTCGCTCGCCCTGTACATATTAGCCTCCAACACCACCGCCGCCAGCCTCTTGGCGTGCGCACGACCCCTTTCACGTCTCTGTGACGACCCTGCACGAAATAATCCATTCACGTCGCGCCTCTCGGTGCGGGGATGAGCGTGCCGTTGAAGAATGCCACTGCGGCGCGTGTAAAGTCGCCAGAGAGGCCGGAGGCGGAGTACGCGAGGCGCAGGTAGTCTGCACCAGAGAGAGCTGTCAGTCATGGGCATGGACTGTCGAGCATGGGGCCCACACTCACGCGGCTGGCTGCGAATCGTGTCGGCAAGCGACGCCGCGCCTCCAGGAAAGGCAGTCGTGTTGGAGCCGGCGTAGACGTCGAGCAGCGAGGTGAGGTTGTAGGACGTCGCGGGGCCGATGTAGCGCAGCACGTCGTCGACGAGCAGCTGGAAGCCGTCCCACGCCACTTCGCCCGCCTCCTGCTGCGGCAAGTCGTTCCAGTGCACCTGCAGCGCCGCGGCCGTAAAGTTCTCCGGCGCCAGGAAGCTCGGCAGGCCTGTGCCGTACACGCCCTGCCCGACGATCTCGGCCGTGTTCTGGATCACGCCGTCGAAGCCCCAGCGTCCCACGCCGGCAATGTACATGCCCAGCAGGAAGGCGCAGTACGCGAGCGAGAGACGGGTGGGGAAGGCGCAGAAGCAGACGAGCACCAGCGCGATGATGTAGTGGTGCAGCCGCAGGCCTGTTGTCGGCACGGCGGAGAGCAGGCCGATGAGCAGGCCGCCGACAGCCGCGAGCGCAAGGTACTTGGGCAGCGCGCCGACCTTGCGGATGACGCGGACCTACCGAGGCGTGTCAGCCATAGGCAGGGCAAGCACGGACAATAGGCAGGACAAGTACAGGCAGCACACTCACCTGATTAATCGCCAGCACCAGCACAACGACGACGATGACGATCAGGCTCGTGAGCGCGCCCGGCTGCCCCGTAATGTCGGAGAGGACGAGGCGCTGCAGCGGCACATCGACAAAGACGACGTCGAGCAGCGTGCCGAGCCAGAAGAAGCCCTGCGTCCAGACTTCGCGCTCGAGGGGCAGGAGCGCAAAGGCCGGCCACACGTAGCGCACCGCGACGCGCCAGATGACATAGGCGCCAAAGAGCGTCGGCAGAAAGTCGCCTGCTGGCCCGCCGACCGTGGGCGGGAAGCGGCGCGGCTCGGCGACGAAGTTGAGATGCCAGAAGCCGACGCAGACGAGCGTGAAGAAATAGACGATGCGCTTGGGACGCAGCACAAAGCCGACGAGGGCCAGCAGCAGCACGTTGAGCGCATAGCCGCCGGCGCGCGAGTCGTCGCATCCCGTGCCGCGCGCCGTCTCGTCGAAGGTAAAGGAGACGGGAAACGTCGAGTTGAAGGCGATGCTGCGGATCCCGTTGCGCTCCACACTCTCGTACGTGCTACTCGTGCCGCTGAGCCACAGGGCACCGCAGCCTCCGCGATTGGCATCGATGACGCCGGCGTGCTGTGCCGCCGAGCAGACGAAGCTGTCGCCGCGGTAGACGCGCGAGCCCGAGGCGTCGACTTGGCCACCGACGACGAGCGGCACGAAAGCCGGCAGTTCGTCGCCGACGGCGCGTGCCTGGCCGAGCGTCGTCTTGGCACAGTGCGCCGGACAGCGGAACGCCACGGGCACGTCTGCCGCGAAGGGGCTGCAGCCGCTGCCGTCGAGACCGCACTCGCTGTTGTACAGCCAGTACGCCGACGTGCAGGAGAAGAAGCTGGCGTCGAGCGACTGCGAGCCAATCGTGACGTTGCCGCGGTACCAGATGTTGCGCACGACAAAGACGAAGCCGAAAAGCCAGGCCACGTATGTCAAGAAGAGCAGCAGCCAGTGCTTGCGGTTGCGCCGGTACTCCTGTCGCACGGTCTGCGGCCACTCGGGCGCCTCGTCGTGCTCGGGCAGCGAGGGACTGGCTTGCGGCAGCAGCGCGGGAGCGTCTTCGGGCATGCGCCACGCAACAGGCGCCGTCACGCGAAGCCACGCATGCTCAACGGGAGCAAGAGGCCACCAGCGAAAGTGGCGAATGACTAGCCGTGCGCGTGGCCGTGGCCCGTCGAGCCACCGCAGCACGGCACGCGAAGATCTCCGCAGGGCCGAAGTCGACCTGCTCCCCTGGTGCGCGCCAGCGGGAAGAGCAGCGAGCGGAGCAGCGTAGAGCAAGCTTGCCTCCTTCGTCGACACGTCGCTTTGCGGCGCCAGTGGCTCCGAGTGCTCGACGATGTCCGCGCGCATCGTCTCGGCCAGCGAGCGCGGGTGCACGACGAGCGCCAGGGCCGGAGCTGGGCCATCGGCAGGCACCTGTCGGGCCAGCCAGCGCACAGAGGCCAGGTTTGCTGTGGCGGTGGTGAGGCCATGGCGCGCGCCCTCTTGCAGGCATTGGTGCGTCAGCTCGGTCGGCGCAGTCGCCTCGCTGGGATGCTCCAGGGCATCGACGACACGCTGAAACGTCGCGCCGACGCTGCTCGATGGCTGAGCAGGCAGGATCCTGACGGGCAGAGCGAGGCGAGGCGGAGCGTCTTGCCACCGTGATCCTTGCCAGAAGTCAGCACTGCCGTGCTCCTCGAAGAGTGCCCTCGCACGGCGTTGTTCCGCCGCGCCTCCGACCTTGCGGGCAATGTCGAGCAGCTTGTCGCGCGCATCCGGCGTCGCCCACACTCGCCGGGCACTCTCAAGCTCCCTGAACAGCGGCTGCGAGCCCTCGCGCGTCAGCTGCTCCACGAGGTGTCGACTGTGCGTCGAGACGTCGACGAACTCGTCTGCGATGCGCTCGGGATGCGGCAGCGCCATGTGCGCAATGTCGCTGACGAGCGCGACCATGAGCGAGACGTCGAGGTTCAGCTCGGCCGTGGTGTGTGCCGGCTGCGGAAGGCAGAGCTTCGAAGGCAGAGGCGCAGCAGGAGCATGCTCGACCTCGATGCGCATCGCCTGCAGCGCAAGCAGCAGCGCACGTCGCCGAGCAGCAAAGCGCTCCTGCTCTGCTGCGTCGACGAAGGGCAGCTCCTCCGCGCATGCTGTGGCATCGAGACGCATGCGTGTGAAGCGCATGACGAGCTCGATCGGTCTGCTCTGCGCATCGCGCGCACCGACGAGCTCCTGCGCGCTGCGAAAGAGCGAGCAGCTGCGGGCTACGCCGTCCAGCTCTCCGTGCTGCAGGCGGCTCGTCGACTCGGAGTCGAAGCCACCGCCCACCCGCTGTGCCGCCTTCTCGGCCGCTCTGAACTCAGAGAGCAGCTTCGAGGCTCGTGTTCCCATCAGACGCGTCCACCGACCGCCGCCGAAGCTGACCACGTCGACCTTGGCCGCGGGCCGCACGCCCGTCGAGGGCCCCGCTGCGGCGGCACGCGTGTCGAACGAGACGTCGAGGCCTGCCAGAGGCGGATGCGTGCGGAGCGCATCCTGTGCGGCGGCCCATTGTGCGACGAGATGCGGAGCGTTGGACTGTGCGGGCGGCGAGGAGGACTGCGCAAGGCGGATCAGCAAGCGCGCCACCTCAAGAGGGGCCGAGCCGAGGTTCCTGATCGCGGCCAAGGGTGGCGCGTGTCTCCTTGCGCCCTTTTCGGGCACCATGACCTTCTCGGCATCAACATCTCGCCTCCTGAGTTCCAGTAGGGCCGCCGCCGAGCAAGCTCATCTATGCGCCACTCGACTCACCAGCAGCGCAGCACGTTCCTTCTCGCACACCGCACGCAGACGCGTGAGGCCCGGCAGTGCCTGGCGCGCGGCCAGGCGCTGCGGGGCATCGAGCCATGCGGGACCGACGAAGAGCGAGACGTGTTCGTTGGGCGAGGCTGGCGCTGCGTGCTGCTCGGCATCAGGCGCCAGGAAGGCGGCGATGCAAGCCAGCACCTGCGCCAGCGCCGCGGCCTGCGCGCTCGGCGGCAGCGCGGAGGAGTGCGGCGCGGCAGCCGCGGCTGAGCTGCGGGCAGAAGCAGGCGCCATGCGGAGCAGCTTGGCTTCTCTCAGCAGCGAGCAGGGCCAAGGCTGGCGCGGCAGGCGTCTCTCGCCACCGGTGCACGGTGTGAGAGAACGGCGCGCCTGGCTGGCGAGGGGCGCTCGCGGTGACGAGCTTGAGGCGCGCGCGTAGACTGAGCGGGTCGGATGCTTCAGCAGTGCTGCAGCAGGAGAATGGCGGGTATGAGGTGGGCGTGAGGGGGTGGGCGTGCGGAGAGGCGCAGCGTGGGCAACGGCGTCTGCGTGGGGGCGCGGCACGGCGCAAGCAGCGTGCAGCTTGGCGCATCGCGATCTGCTGACCGCTCGCCGTGGCCGCTGCTCCGCCAAGAGGCAGCGCTCCCAGCCCTCAGCCGGCAGCCTCTGTCGGACCCGCGCGCCGGCATCAGCCTCATGCAGTCGAGCGAGCCTCCGTGTTTGCACCCTGCGACGCTTGGGCACAGCAGCGGCACCGCCGACGCTGCCGGCGTGGCGGTGCCGCGTGCCAAGAGGCGCGCCTCAGCGTCTCGCAGCTCGAGCCGCGGCGTGGCTCTCGTACGATCATGCCGCTCTTGGTTCCTTCTGACAAGCATGCCTCGTCCAAACGCTCCGCTCTGGGCACTTGTCGTCTAGCAAGCCGACAGGGGCGATGTTGCCAGCTGACGTTGACCTCTGCGCTCTGGAGAGTGAGGGACGCGCGCTGCTGCAGCTGACGGCTGCTGACCGCTGATGCAGCTGCGCGGAACGCTGGCGTGGCTGTGCTGCGCTGCGGTGCGGAGCAAGAGAAGAGCCCGCAGCATCAGCCTGCGGACGCGGGGTGGCGGCGCAGCACCCAGCGTCTGCGGCGCCCGATGTCTCTCCTGGCAAGAGGCGAAGAACATTCGTCTGTGATGAGTCGCAGCGAGCAGCACAGCATGCAGCACCAGCATACGCTGCCCAAACGGCGTCTTTCGAGGCTCGAGGTACAGCAGCTCGGTGCGTCAGCGCTGTACGCCACAAGGGGCGAGTGAGAGGCGCGCAGGGGCCGCTCGCTATCGCTTGCGCCCCTCTGCAGCTGCTCTGTGCGCCTGACGGCTGGCACGGCCGCGACCAGCGCTGCGCCTCTCGTCGCGCCTCTTTCTCGGTGCTCGCTGCGCATGAACGGCCTGCTGCGCCTGTCTCTGCTCTCTGTGGGACGGCATGTGCCGCGCTGCGTCGTGTGACGGGGCGAGGCTGGCGGGCCGAGGGCGATGCTGCGCTGCGTGATGCCATGACGCGCGGCGGAGGCACAGGCGCAGGCACGCCAGCGGCACCGCGCGCCCGCGTGGCTGCTGCTGCTGCTGCTGCTGCTGCTGCTGCTGCTGCTGCTGCTGCTGCTGCTGCTGCTGCTGCTGCTGGCGGCGCGCGCGCTGCGTCTCCGGCGGCCTTGGCGCGCCGCGCGCCGTTGGCCGGCGGCTTGTGCGCTGCGCTCGCCGCTGCCTCGTTGCGCTTCGCTGCTCCTCTCCACCACCACCGCCGCTGCCTCTCGCTGTCCTCCAGCCGCAGCGTCGCACACTCACTCGCATTCCCCTTGCGCACACCCGCCGGCGCACCGCCCGCCGCTCTCTCGCGCCGCCGCCGCTTCGCCTCCACTTGCGCCCTCTCACCCCTTTGCACGCGCCCTCGCCCGCACCCGCTCACCACCATGGGCAAGAACCAGTCGAAGCTCGTGCGTGGCGCCGGCGTGTGCCCGCAGCGCGCCCGTGTCTGCCACCCACGTGCTCATGCCCCTCTCTCTCTCTCTCCACGCGCAACAGACGCCCGAGCAGCTGGTGGATCTGCAGAAGAGCACCTACTGTGAGTGGGTGCGCTTGCGGGCAAGTCGGCCCACAGCACCGTGCACGCCGTGCATGCGCTGCAGCAGGCGCGTCTCATCTGCGCCGCCAAGGCTGACCTTCTTTCCCCCCGCTGGTGCGCAGTTGACCGCAAGGAGCTGCAGCAGTGGTGCGTCGCAGTCCGAGGCAAGGCAAGCTGCACGCGCAAAGAGAGTGTGGCTGACGGCGGCGTTGGGCTCGCCTACTCGTGTGCCGCGCGCAGGTACAAGGGCTTCCTCAAGGACTGCCCCTCGGGCGTGCTCGACAAGCAGGAGTTCATCAAGGTGTACAAGTGCGTCGGGCGCGGGCGGGCGGGCGGCACAGCATCTCCTCCTTGCTCAGACAGAGGCTGACCTCGCCCCCTTGCCTCCTTGCTCTGCCTTTGCTGCGCACACACACACAGGTCCTTCTTTGCCTTTGGCGACCCGTCCACCTTTGCCGAGTTCGTCTTCAACGTCTTCGACGAGAATGGCAACGGCACCATCGACTTCAAGGAGTTCATCTGTGCCCTCTCGGTGACGTCGCGCGGGCGCCTCGACGAGAAGCTGCGCTGGGCCTTCCAGCTGTACGACATTGACGGCGACGGCACCATTACGTACGACGAGATGCTCAGTGAGTCGCCACCCCCCCCCCTCTGGCCGCGGCGCGAGTGAGGCTAATGAGCG